GTAAAATCGGAGTTAATTTTGAGTAACTCGCGTTGCTCAATATCTTATACATATTAGAGATGAACTAGCCTAAAGCTAAAAATCTTTTTAATAAAGCTTTTTTAAAAAAATATCTTATACACATAGCAACCTAATTGTTATAAGTATTAAAAACAATGTTGATACCGATGCTGTTAAGCAAGTAAGTTGACGTGCTTTCCAGTTTTCAGTGAGGTTCATCATGATGTAAATATCAATTAAAAAAGAAAACTTATAATCTATAATCTATAATCTTTCAGAGATATAACTGTTAGCTGTTACGAACAGCACGCGCCCTTTACGATCATCACGAGCAGCTTGTCGACCCGATACCACCCCTGGAATCCCGATGAGTGTTGGTGGTAACCCTGCAGGGAAGTGACAGATGCCAATGTCACCACAGCGACTCGTGAGTATGCAAAAAAAGGAACAGAAGACAAAAGTAAAAACTATCAGTGCACCTTTCTATGCGGTGAAATTTCAAGTTTTCCTACATTTATAATTTAATTTGAATACTAAATTAGTTGTTAAACCTAAACTATTTACATGAACTAGAAGTTTGCCTACAAACAAAGAATCAGTACGATCACAATTGAACACAATAACCTAACTTAAAGCTAATCTGGATGCACACCGGTGAGACTAGATGAGACTCACCCTATGTGGCTCAACCAAGACTCCCGGATATCTAGCTCAGTAGCATGAGACCCCTGAACTGTGTCACAGGGCCGGCATGCTACTTGGTAATTTGGAGGGGTACGCGGAACAAACTGTGCAGAAACTGTGCGATTTCTTACGTGATTGTGAAATTAATTGGAAGCTAAAGTGTGGGTGGAAAAGTCTAAAAGTTTATTAAAATGGAACTATTGTGCGGATGGTTCTAATTGGGCTATTATGGGGTGTGTTCTGTGGGTTTCTGCTTCCTTGGTACGTACCGGTGGTGTTTGCTGGACGATGGCGGTGATTATGTTGGGCAGCTGTTGTTTGACCGCGATGGCGATCCGTGGTTTATTCACTCCGTTGACAATGGCGGATCGGTGTCTTAAGCTGGTCTGGAAGATGGCGCCTGGTGACTGGAGCTGTGGTCACTACAATGGCTGTGGTCACTACAATCCCTGTGCAGCTACTGAAGTAGCCTTTTCGGAGTCAACGGCGTCTCCCTTCGTTGGCGAACATCAGCTGACCGTGACAAGGCCACCTTGGTCGAGCCGAGAAGGGTCTTCCTCCTTAACAATTAGGACTACCGAGTCCGAGGATGCTCTTCTTTCTGGCAATTATTAAGCCGGAGAGTTGAAGGTCCTTGACATTTAGACCAAGACAGCCGAGACTGACTTGGTCGAAAAGTGCCGATCGTGAGGATCTCCGTGGAATACCAAACAAAAGGTCCTAAAGGACAAATGGTTGTTTTAAACCAAGCCAAAATCATTTTTGGTCAAATTCAGTTACCTGAATGAACACCAGGAACATAAAAAGGTCGTTCTCTGCACTTTGGTTCACTTTTTCATTCCACTCACGTCTTCTAGGCACAAACGCCGGTTTACTTCTGGGCAATGGTTGACCATCCCAGCTATCAAAAGCCCTCCTTTTCCCATCCAGTTTTCAATTCGTTCCTTATTATTTCCTCCATTTTCCTTCCTTGTAGCTTATCACCACCCATCCATATCAGCTCCTTCGCCTATTGAGTTTTTCTACCACAGTTGATTATAACACCCTTTCGATCCTGTCACATCCAATTAAGCTTATAAACAAATATCATTTTCAAACTACCTACTAAGACAAATTTATACATTTTTCAATAACAGCAATTTTACCTACAATCCTACTAATCCTACTAACCCAACACTGACACTAAACAAACACTACAGTTTCCTAAAACAACATGCACAAATTAAAACCTAGGACATTGTAACTAAACGGTTACACCGGTAAGAAACTAGTGACAAACCGGAAATTTCTTCTAAAATTAAAGATTTAAACTACTTACAGCAAGAGCGAACTTAAAACCTGACTAGAACGTGAGGACAAATCTCACTTAGGGGAAACTAAACGTAAGTTAAAGCTACTCAATTATTAAAAACTATAATGCCTATGCCTAAACATAACCTAAACCAGTATACTGAACTAAAATTATGCATTCTCTTTGGAACGCTCTTTCATGATCCACACAGGAATATTATAATCTCCCCAATAAAGAGTGTAATTATATACGAGTGCTCTGGAGATTATCATTACGGAAGAATTCCCCCTTTCGGTCGTGTTGCGTTAAACCACAACAACCATAGAGGTAACTCTAAGACCAGAAGGTCCCGAAGAAACGTGCTCAACTTTTTGGCTCAGCTCTGGTACTATATTCGGTCCCAAGCTAATCGATGCACCCCTTGAAACATACGAAAATCCACGAACCCCTCATTTTATCTGTCAAACTTTCATAGCGAATCAAAACAAACATAGTGTAGTATTAGAATTTCGATTAGAATGGGGTACGTTAATCGATTTGCTTGGGACCAATAGGCTAGTCAAGTAGTGAGTTAATTTTTAAATCGTTAGTTTCCACCGGTTGATATAACTTTCGACTGTATGGGTGTTGTATGCAAGCCAGTTGGTGGAAGCAGAATCGTAACAGTTGATATGGAAAAAGGACTATATCCTGGGTGGTAGAATCTAAAAAAGTGGCAACAAACTCCCAATCCATGAGAAGAGGAAAGGCGTAGATGACCTGAAAAACCTAGATAAGCCGCCATTGCCTCATACTGTATGAAACTAATGTTCTACCCGACAGTGACTCAGAGCATAAAATTCTTTTTTTACTGTGTCTCAGAGTCGGCGCACTACCGGGAAAACTGGAGGGGCTTCGCGTACTCAAGCTTTTTAATTAATTAAAACCCAGAGCGGATCAACTTAACCACTATATTGTCCAAACATTCCTCAATATACTTAGGAGTGAGTAGTGTGGTGTATTGAATATTCTGGCACGTACTTTTACGACAACTACGACAAATGCAGTCCAGCGAGCGCTCGCTGAAATTTCAGATCAATTCTGGCGATGGTGGACAATCAAAGGCTGACTGGTCTACCGGCGATGGCGGTCTGACTAGTGCGTCTACCGTTCATTGGCTGTCGTGCGATTGTGTTTTGGTGATGGGCTGGTATGAAGAATTGTGGAGCTGGTTCCGATGCACAGGCGCTTCCTTCAGACAAAGCCGGTCGACGACGGCAAGGCCACACTCTGTCAAACCTAGAAGGGAATTTCTCCTTAGCGATTAGGGCCGTCGGCTCGAGAGCGGTGTCCTGTCCAGTCGTTGGCGAGGCTCGGACCTCCAGTCACGGATATCTAATTGTAATGGACAGTTGTTCCTCGTGAAGGAGGACAGTGTCCCTGGTCTACACGTTCGCCTGTTTAAAAGTGAACGATGGCCTTCGCTGAGCATCGCAGGACCCTTCACCCCATCACCCCGTGACTCAGTGACACCATTTTGTTGTGGCCATGCACACCTTGTTCAACAATCGACCGTTAAGCATGGCCGTGTCGTCTTCCCAGTAGGTTTCATCGCTATAGTTTAAATTTACCTGAAGGATCGATCACATGATGCAATTAAGAAAACATCGAATTGAAGTAATGAAATTGGGTTGTTAGCGGAATGCTAAATAAAACAGCAAAAAAGGGGTTATCTTCCATTTAATTCCACTTAATTAATTTTGGTATCCATGACAGATACGTATTTCGACTACAATGTGCAGTCTTCATCAGTGCCATTCCCACTAAAGAACTTATCAAAATCTAACCCCTTTAAGTACTCATCCCCTAGGTAAAAAAGTCAAGATCATAGGTATAAAAATGAAACTACAATGTGTTGAATCGAAACCTACCTAACTAATAAAAACCAAAGATTTAAGTAAGCTAAAGGAGAAAAATCTATACAAATCTCTAATAAGGAAAATCCCCAAAGGCTTGGTAGCCATCATAATGAAGTAATGAAATTGGGTTGTTAGCGGAATGCTAAATAAAACAGCAAAAGAGTTTATCTTCCATTTAATTCCACTTAAATGGAAGATAAACCCTTTTGCTGTTTTATTTAGCATAACCTTACATAGAACAAGCTTAAATAATAATCCGATTTTTCAAAAAAAGTTTAGCTAGAAAAATAGATCCAAAAATTACCTATTTTTTGACATCAGTCAGGGGAAATGGCTCTAATGTTGGCCTATGGATCAAATGTTGGGCCCATCGCTAATTAATCTGCTATTTATCATTTGTATCTACATAGTTGAAGATGCTAATTTCAAATAACAGACTAAAGTGGTAATTTTTATACGATAGATGAGGAGGAGATGAAAGTCTAGAGTTAATAGTTCCGTTAGAGTACGGCAGTGTGAAAATTGCATATAGATAATAGATAGCGAGCTAGGACAACTTTTAAGGAAGGTACAAATCGGTTTTTTCATCTCGCTTTACCAAACTCCCCCTTTGGAGAGGGATGGTAAAGATCCATCCATTGTATACAAATTACCACTTTAGTCTGTTATTTGAAATTAGCATCTTCAACTATGTAAATCGTTGACTACACGCAGAAGTAATACTAAACATATAGTCAAAGTATTAGTATCTAGATGAACGCGTCATTGGGACGGTACTAATGGATATTTTTGGTTGCTATTGCAAATTTATTCGACTGCAGAATTTATGTATGGGCTCAAATTAGGGGCATGTAGGCTGACATTACATTTATTCCCCATTTTATAATTTGATATTGTATAGATAAAACTAAACGAAGGTGTCCAATTTTTTGTGAACAAAAAAGTTGATTCTTCTCAGGTTGTTCAGGTAAAATGAGGCCGAAAATTCAAAATAACTTCCCTCCGATGTTCTGTCAAGATGTTTGGTTGATCACGAACTACCGATTTGTAGTAATGTCAATTCAACTAACCTTATTCAAATCACTCGGTGCGTCCAGCGAGTCCAATAGCAGTCCAGTCCATTTATCACTAGGGCCTTCTTCATTACTTTCGTTTGCAATAGATTGGTCACGATGAAAAAAAATATTGTTAAATAACTTCTTCTCTATTTAAATCGCATTAAAAATAACCACTCATATCACAAATTCCCTTGTGATCATGCAAAGAAAAACATCTACCCTGCGCAACGGTTGAGATCAATGCTTTCCGGGCTAACCACCCTTCGAAGTCCTATCTCCATCGAACAGCTCAACACTTTCCGGTCAGTAGCATATCCGAGATCGACGGCACCGCACTCAACTTCCGATCAACAAACTCCACCCGCCGCGGTTGAACCTACAATTTAGCAGAAATACACAGATTTAACGAACCACTATCGGACAGACGGACAAAATAGAACGAAATTAATCAATTAGCCTCAGTTAGTCAATCTGAGCCGATTCAATCTGAGAACTAGGGCACTATATCACAGCTCGCTCGTCGTTGTGCACGGTCGCGGTTCGCGGATTAGACTGAACCATCGCTAAAACTTACCGTCGGTTTGCTGGAATCGAACCGGACCTTCTCAAATTTCACCGACCACCCGCTGAGTTCGCTACTGGCAGTGCTGTCACCCTCGTCATCGTCCCACCAGGCATCTTTCGTCTTCGGTGATGGCGCTTCGGTTGATTTGTCATCAGATTCTACCTGAAGGTTGTAGTGCTGGCAGTCTTCGATCAGTGCCGGCTGCTCAGGGCGCTGGTACAGCAGAACGTGACCGATCCACTCGAGTGGAACGGTTAGAACCTTACTCTGGAAGGCGGACGAGAAGCGGAGCAGTAGCTGTCGTCGGATTTCTGGTAGCCGCAGTGCGGCAAGGGCTGCTTCCAGGGGTGAGAGCTGCTGCAAGGTTTGGAGCACTCGGTGGAAATTGTGCCGGAGGTATTCGATGTTAAGGGTGATATGTGGGTTGAGATTTTTCCGAACCTCTTTCGGGAGGTTTATTCCGCGGGAGAGGGCTTCAGAGCTTCCGAGATTGAACGACAGGTAGAGTGCTTCCATCCTGATTCTTCGATTCAGGTCGTAGGACTTGGTTTCTTCGTCCAGATCGTCGTAGCAGCGGAGAACTTTTTTCAAGCATTCCTGTAGATGGGAAGTGCAAATTTTCGGGTCGAATTCGCTGATGTGGGACTCGCAGAGATGGTAGGCGCTGTACGCTAGGAAGCAGACTATCGGCTCCACAATGTCGAGGGTCTCTTCGGCGGCTAGGTTTTGCATGACCACTTCTTGGCGGACCGCCCTCAGGCGGTCAAAGATGAATTCGTATCGGAAGGCGTACGGACGGCGGTCGTCTTTGAGGATTCTGAAAATGGAGATTGGGGAAAATGGGGGATTCTATTGATAAGAAGATCGTGGTAGTGATGACATTGGGACATTATAGGCATACTTGGAGCTTCAGCAGAACTTAGAAACTAAGGTAAAAGCTTTTACAGGATCAATACCGTAGGCTTTGTGCTTTGAAGACAAGTTCCTCTCTACTGCGTTAATTTTTGTAAGTTAGTCGAAGCCCATCATCATCATCTGCTTATTTGTTAAACCCCCAACACTTGGCCTTCAGGTAACTATACTCCGTGTTTGACCTATTTCTTCTTCTTCTTCTTCGCATTTCAAGCTTATTGCTTATTGCATATTAGCTTATTGCGTGCTCTTAACTTAGTGTTCTAGCTGCACTTCCACAATTATTAATTGAGAGCTTTCGATGCCTGTACCATTTTTGCATTGATATGATTGTGTGGCAAGTCCAATCATACTTCTATATGCCCAGGGAAGTCGAGAAATTTTCCAACCAGAAAAATTCCTAGACCGAACCGGGAATCGAACCCAGCCACCTCCAGCATGGTTTTGCTTTGTAGCTGCGCCTTTACCGACTGAGATAAATTAAGACTTCTTTCTTAATCATCACTAAATTTGTTTTGGCAAAGTTCTGAATATCCTTGAAATTCACATTCAAACTATGTTTACGTAATCGACTATTCTTGTTCTGAAAGTTTTCAGGACTTGACTGGAGAAAACAGTTGGACTTGTCTGAGGTTATCCGGAAGACGTTAGCAATAGCTTTTCGAGATTTTTGGTAGGTCTCAATGTAATAGCCTAAAGTCCAAAAGGATCCTACGTTTCTGGGGTTCTCCCTTGCTCTGAATGTTCTTCAAACATGACTTGGTTGTAACGAAAAGTGCCGAAAATGTTTTTTTTTTCAAAAATACATGAATCATATACCATAAACGAACGATAACCAAAATGGAAGAACTATTCAGCAAATGGTATGAATGATACCCCGAACATGATTTTCAAGCAAATGTCAACGAAATATTACTGAAATAAAAGTAATATTAATTTATATCCGTTTCTACTCATTTTTCTGCAAATTTCAGCTTCATAGTTCGATACCAGCTGCCAAATTATTTTCTTTTTTTTCAATCAAACAAAAGTACGCAAATCATATTTTTAATGATAGGTCACTAGACAATTTCAGCCTACTGCTTATATTCGGGGGGCCCGTCGATACAATTTCACATGTGCAATAAATTCATCAATCCTCCATATGCTCCTATATGCTTGCAAAAAAGCGCTAATGGAGCACCTGCAATAACATGTTTTAAGCTATAAATCAACACACCAATCAATTTCTTCCCCGATAAAATTGTTATAGTTAATTTATTTAAAGATGTGTTCGGGATATCATCCAAACCATTTGCGGAATAGTTCAATCATTTGGTGTTTTTTTATTAGGGTTGGCATCCCACCGCATCGGCAAATTCTGAAAAATTAAACTTGAAGTCAGATAGTGTAGACAGGTTTTGCTCGACCTGCCATTTAACTGACAGGAAGCTCGGTTTACTGATTATCAGAAAATACTCTGACATTTGTCTGTTTTACTGGATTTTGGCAATGCAAAATTGCTAATACTAAATTCCTGTGAAATATTATTTTTCTGAAACTCAAATTCGAAATTTCCTGTGTAGAGCGGCAAAATCGATCGTGATCAACTTCACCCCGTTTTACGGTACAACTATAAACAAAAAAAGATAAAACCAAACTCAGTCAGCAGGTACTCGACCGTTCGTATCAGTGCCTTGACCGTTCGGATCTCCCAGTGCTTCGGTCGTTTCACTCCCGCAGCCGAACGGGCAAATTCCTTCACGACGAGCCGCTCGATTGGCTCTGTCCTGCTACCCGGTTTCAATTCGTAGAAGTGCAGCATCCGCTCCCGGGTGCGCCTGCAACAAGAAGGGAGAGAATATTTAAAGTGTTCGATACATTGCCTGATGGACCGGTGAAAACTACTCACATTTCAATCTCCGACTTGGGACACATCGTTTCACAACTTCCACGGATGAACGATTCCATTTCTGCGGATGGTGCTGGAAGAATTTATTTGTTTACATTTACAGAGGACATTTTGACAGTTCCATCCGTTCGATCAGCTGCGAAGTGGAGAGGTGAGACAACTATGCATTAAATAATCTGTTCATTTCGGATTTATTTTTATATTTTCAAGAAGATTGCTTAAAAAACGATGATGATCCCTAATAAAAATAACCATAAACGAACGATAACCCAAATCATTAAACTATTCCACAAATGGTTTGGATGATACCCAGAACACGTCGTTAAGCAAATTAACCATACAATTTTTATTAGGGATGATGATGATGATGATGATGATGATGATGGTCCCACATCTTACCCATGCAAAGGTTTGAGCTGGACGATTTATAACAAAAATATCAAACGCTATCCAGGACAACGCTAATAAAATGTGTATGATTATTTTGCTTACCGACGTGTTCATGGTATCATCCAAACCATTAACCGAATAGTTCTACCATTTTGGTAATCGTTAAATTATGGTTTATGTAAATTAGGGAAAGTCTTGATTTATTGCCCTAATAAAAATTGTATGGTTAATTTGCTTAACGACGTGTTCTGGGTATCATCCAAACCATTTGTGGAATAGTTCAATGATTTGGGTTATCGTTCGTTTATGGTTATTTTTTATTAGGGTGTGCAATAATAATACATTTTTTGAAAATGTGGTAGAAACTTTATATATGCAACATAATTCAATACTGCGACTGTTTACATTTTAGCATTAAAGCTCTTTTCCCCGCTTGAAGCGACATCTCTGGTTTCAGTTTAACAATCTGCTATTATAGTGAAGCTTCGATTTAATCACGGTCAACCATTTTTTGCGATATTTATGTATTTGAAACTATGGAAATTTCATTCAAATTTATTATTCACACGCTAAGACAAAAGTACCTTAGCCGGTAAAAAATACCGATAATCGCACAAGAGTACACATACCTACATTATGGGTCAACATTGATTACCTAAAAATAGGTATTAAATTGGAACAGCGTGAACGGAAATATTGACGTTATATGGTGTGTTAGTGTTTTCTGAAAATTAAGTATTTCAACTTAAACTATGTTGTTTGTATTACTTCTGCGTGAAGTTAACGATTTAACATAGTTGAAGACAGGCTTCCAAAAAGTACAGGGGTACGCTAAAGGGCACTACACTTAAAAATACCGGTCTACACAGACGCCTGATTACTTCTGGTCAATCTTCCACTGGAAGATGGCCTCTCCAATATATGCCAAAAATTCTCATTCTCCCTCTTTTCGCACAACCATTTTTGTGTGAGATGTTGTACACGGAGATGAAAAACTACCCAAAATTAAGTACTTTTCCCTCAATTCCGGGGTTCAGCCCAATAACCCAAATTTGAGTAAATCGCATATAGTAGTTTCCATTTACGGTTCGACTTTAAGGCGGCATACGACAGTATCGACTGCACAGAGCTATGGAAAATCATGGACGAAAATGGCTTTCCTAGGAAGCTGATCAGACTGATCAAAGCAACGACGGACGGTGTGCAAAACTGCGTAACCCAACAAACATTGAATATTGAATAAGAGCTTATTCAGGCAAAACCAAGCTTCTTCAGCTAAAAAATTGGTTTAATCAGCTGTTGATCAACTCAAATTTTTTGTTGGGAAGGGTTTCGGGTGAACTATCCAGTTCATTCGAATCTCGCCGGGGACTGCGACAAGGTGACGGACTCTCATGCCTACTCTTCAACATCGCTCTAGAAGGTGTAATGCGACGAGTCGGGCTCAACAGCCGGGGTACGATTTTCACGAAATCCGGTCAATTTGTGTGCTTTGCGGACGACATGGACATTATCGCAAGAATATTTGGAACGGTGGCAGAACTATACACCCGCCTGAAACACGAAGCAGCAAAGGTCGGACTGGTGGTGATTGCGTCAAAAACAAAGTACATGCTAGTAGGCGGAACCGAACATGACAGGATTCGTCTAGGAAGTAATATCACGAACACGATAGACGGGTATACTTTCGAGGTAGTGGAGGAATTCGTTTACCTTGGATCCTTACTGACGGCTGACAACAATGTGAGTCGTGAAATACGAAGGCGCATCATCAGTGGAAGTCGTGCCTACTACGGGCTCCAGAAGAAACTACGGTCAAAAAAGATTCACCCCCGCACCAAATGTACCATGTACAGAACGCTAATAAGACCGGTGGTCCTTTTTTGGACACGAGACATGGACTATGCTCGAGGAGGACTTGCAAGCACTCGGAGTTTTCTTTCGACGTGTGCTAAGGGCGATCTTCGGCGGTGTGCAGGAGAACGGTAAGTGGCGGCGAAGAATGAACCACGAGCTCGCTGCACTCTACGGCGAACCCAGCATCCAGAAGGTGGCCAAAGCCGGAAGGATGCGGTGGGCAGGGCATGTTGCAAGAATGCCGGACAACAACCCTGCAAAGTTGGTGTTCGCTACTGATCCGGTTGGCACAAGAAGGCGTGGAGCGCAGAGAGCACGATGGGCGGACCAGGTAGTGCGTGATCTAGTGAGCATTGGGCATGACCGAGGATGGAGAGCGGCAGCCAGTGATGCCACATATACAGATTTATCTGTAATCATACAGATTTTTTTCAATATTTTGATACAGATATCTGTATATACAGATTACAGATTTTTGAAAAATATACAGACTTTTCAAATAAAGTGAATATATTTTGTATTGTTTTTTTTTTAATATTTATTAAAATGAATCCTGTAGAAGCTAAGCGATTGCTTCAACCTATGCCGGTGAAAAGGGGAACCCTCAAAAGAGTGATGAGGGTGGAAATTTTCACAGTGGAGCATTGGAAAAAGGCAATATTTTCACCTTTGCTGATTAATTTATCCCCCGCCGGTGCTTTAAATCATCATCCACGTGGAATATTTTGTTTTCTGTATCGGGTTTGCAGTGATCCGGCTGGTGCTTCCATATATTTTTGATGAGAAAAATTAAGATTTATAAAATTGTCTCAGCGGTTATGATCTTCCGGATTTTTAATGTGTGGTTATTTCAGCTGGAAATCAGTTCAGCTCTGTAGATTATCGAAAAATACGAACACACCCGATGGAAATTTTCAAGTTGTGCAATACAATGTACATTTTTTTTTTTTAGTTTTTAAAATCGTCATTATGATGCAAACAAATGGATTGGATGACATTTCCTTTCAAAATCGGCTAGCTCACTCTACATTGATGGTGCATGAAAAGAGCCTATTGTTTTAGCTTCGAATGGACTAGGAATCTTTCGAATGGACTTCTGATTTGTTCTGATGTTCTGATTTCTCGTTGGAAGGAATATTAGTTTCCGTTTCTATTTGTTTAATTAACCATGTCGCATGGTCACAGATACGAGGGTTAATTAAATATATTTTTGGCAACTCGTTAAACAAGCCATTTTAGAAAACCCACAAAGTGGTTGATTACAGCTTGTGGGTAGAAGAATCAACTGGATATTTTTATATTTAAAAAGCGACATTACAGCAATAAAGAATATTGCATGCAATTCGACTAAACTTCCTGTAAAAGTTCTGAGTTATGTCCAATGTCCAGATAAATGTTTGCGTAATCTGAGACATAAATTAATCAAATGCTTGGGAATTGTGATAGTTACTTCATTAAGGAAATTTTCAGTCGGAAACAGACTTGTACAACAGGTACTTAATGTTTTGTATTTTCAGACAGTAGAAGAAATACAAAACACTACAAAAATTAAGATTGTAGGATTTCAAGATTTTTAAAATAAACAAATTCTTTAGAAAGCAAACCTTAGTAATTTTTCCTGATTCTAAACATTGAACAAACTCCTTCTGAACTATGAATTCACTCAATGGAGATTTACGAAAACTCGCACTGAGACCATTATACAGAAATTATACAAATTTTTTTACAGATTTTTGTCAGCCAGATACAGATTAAAAAGATTATGTGCGATGAAAATACAGATTGAGCTCTGAAATAATGTGGCATCACTGCCGGCAGCCGCAAACCGAGTATAGACGAGTGCACGGGTGAACTTTTGTTCATCTACTGAAACAAAATTGACACAACAGCGGGGCCCTGTTTACTAAAAATGCACCCATGAATAATGCTCGCGTAACATTTGAAAAGGGCCTATCAACTTTTAAAAACAATTTGCTAGGTCCATTTCACGAGAACCGAAGTACGCCAATGCAAACCAAGAGCACAATCGGGAAGGGGAAAAATTACCCTACCCGATGGTGTTGTTAATTTGCGTGGACGTATTCGGTTCGCGCGAAAAGGGCTTAACAAGTTTTGTGCACAAAAGTTGATAGGCCCGTTTGAAATGTTACGCGAGTATTATTCATGTGTTCATTTTTAGTAAACATGGCCCCGCTCAAATTCATCGGTGCACTCGTCCATGATATACTTAACGCGTTTTTGAAAGCGTAGCTCGCATTGTTGTCAGTTAAAATCACTGGTCTACACGCTAATTCTAAACTACACAATCTTAAGTAGGATCTACTCAAATTTCGTCGAAATTAGGACTACTCAAAATTGACTGCTAAACGTTGGTACTAACAAGATGATAAATGAACAACATCGGTCAGATTAGGTTAAATGCTAGAGGTTACATGTTCAATGTTAAATGTTACATATAACATGTTACATGTTGTTTGTTACTTGCTACAAGTTACGTGTTAAATGTTAAATGTTAAATGTTGCATGTTCCATATTATATGTAACATGGAACATTTAACGTTTAACATTTAACCAAAGACAAACAGACATAACACTCGCAAGTTGTTCATCGAACAAGCATTTAACGGTCAACTTAAAAGTATCGTAGTTATGTGTTATGTCTGTCTGTTTGTGATTTAACATTTAACATTTCACATTTAACATTTAACATTTAACATTTAATATTTAACATTTAACATTTAACATTTAACATTTAACATTTAACCACAGACAAACAGACATAACACATTGAATATTTACCACTGTCAAACATCGTCGCTAAAACATTACCGCCATCTGTTGA